AAACTTAAGGGGGGGGGGCAAAAAATTGCCCCCCCCCCACCGCCTGGAAGGTTAATCCGGCGACCGCTGGGCCTCCGCGCCACCCGCCGGCCGCTGAAGGGGGGGGGCATATACATAGTTGCCCCCCCCCTTTACCTCTGCGTTGATATCGTCGCAGCGCGAAAAGATAGAGAAACGAAACTATGCATGTATCTTTCTGGATACCTAGCCGAGGTTGAGTTCAAATTTGGTGTCGATCCCATTTAAAATGACGTCACAGTGACGTCAGAAGTCAAATTATAGATTTGCGACTCTCAGCTTCCTCGCGATATATCCGATATACCGCGATACATCTCATATATGAGACCGAATATAAAGGACCGATTATTGGTCAAGAACTAGATGAAAGTGTCCTTAGATGTTTTAGGATGCCAGCAGGTGCTGTATAGTCCATTTACAGTTGAGCTTCATGCTCAGCGACATCAGAAACGGTCCTTTAACGGGGTTACATGAGCGATCCGTTCCAAATACGCACTACGCTAATGCGCATCAGCTCCCCACAAACGTATCTACGGCACCGGTTACATGAGACTAATTCGTTTTATCTACGTCAAACGGATCTTGTTTGGCTCACCCGGGCTGACTCCTCGACGGCCGGTAATTTGCATCACAAACGGAATAGGATTAGCGTACAGTCATGGCGCAGTTGCGGCATTTACCGGGACGACTGAACTAAATTTTAAATACTTATATCATTTGATAGGCTCAAAAACATTTAAAATTAACATGAAATCAAAAAATGAAAACAAAGTTTTCTTGTTTTAAGTCACTGTGCACTGATTCACCATGCAGCGACAGCAGGGTGGTCAGAAAAAAAATTATCTATCAAAATATTTCATTCATTTTATTTTTGATCTTTATCAAATTCACCTTCAAAGACTAAACCGAAATATCAACATTTCTTTTTGCTATTTTCTACGAGGCAGCCAATAAAAAAATGCTTAGTATTTTGCATTTTGACGCTTCCACTCAGCAAAGAATAGTTCTTGTGAAATACGGCCCGAATCGTGTGCCTCGATTACATGAGCGAACCGTTCCAAATACGCACTACGCTAATTCGCATCAGCTCCCCAAGAACGCATTCAGTGCACCAAATACATGAGCAAATTCGTATCAGTGACGTCAAACGGATCCAGTTTGGCTCTCGGCCTGACGGAAGGTAATGCGCACTACAAACGGAATAGCATACAAATGTGGCGCTTTTCCGTAGCAATAGAGGTGACTGAATTAAAAACTTAATTTCTTGTGTCTTTTTTTGCATTTAATCTGCTCTAAACATTCTCAATTAACTAAACAAAAAAAAGTTAAACATAAAGTTGTCTTGCTTCTGTAGTGCTGTCAGAAAAATGTTTCAACAGAAAGTACTTTGATATTTTCTTTTTGGTTTTCACTATATTTATTTTTGAAAACTTGACAAAATACCAACATATTTTTTTAATTATTATTTCAAAAGAAGAAAATGAAAAAATACCTATTATTTTGCATTTTAATGTTTCTTTTTAGAAAGAAATAGTTCCTGTAATATGTATCTTGGTCCTATTCGCTTCTAAGCCTCTTTCCCTGCGGATTTTGTTCGGACCGCCGATTCGTATTAGCAGGTGGATACATGAGTCGGTAGTACGCTCCTGATTCGCATTAGCGGTGAATCCGATCGTGATACGTATTTGCTTTGCTCATGTAACCGCGGATCGGATCGCCGATTCGTACTAGCAGGTGGCTACATGAGTCGGTAATGCGTTCCTAATTCGAATTAGCGGCTAAATAAGTATTTACTGTGCTCATGTAACCCCGATACTTATCAGAAAACGACAAAACTTTATGACGTCACTGTGACGTCATCTTGAGGGCTACAACCCCCAAACTTTCCTCAAACATTGTCTAGGTATTCATTTGAAGCTATGCGAAGTTTGCTCGTTCGCTCATCAGGTTTTGGAAATATCCCACAAAACGTAAAGAGGGGACAATTTTATGCCCCCCCCCCCCAGCGGCTATTGCGTTAAAGACCGGTAGGTATGGGAGCTATTAACCCATTAATGCCGCTTGGGTCATATATGACCCAAAAGCAACATCTTAACATTTTTTTCTCAATGGAGGCAAGTGGCACTTTGAGGAACTTGTGCGTGTGTTTTGTTGGATTTGTGGGTTCAGCGACGAGCGTCGGAGCCGCATAAAACTCGTGTGAGCTCGTCCACTGAAGTTTCTGGAGCCAAAGACGGCTGGACTGCACAGCCGCCTGTCACTGGCAATGGCGCGCCGCCCCCAAAAGTAACATTATATTATGTTTGCACTTTACTATCTGTTGAATGATCGTCCACCTGGCATCTAAATTTGTCTGAAAAAGGCATGATGTATATTTTTGCCCTTCTTGTCGCCATCGGATAACTTTCTTTCCTCGATAAATATCCTTGGGTCATAAATGACCCAGCCGGCAATAGTGTTGTCAATTTTCTCGTATGTTGAATACAAGGGAAGCAATTGATGATTATACGATTATTTATTTCTTGGGGTTGTGATCAGATCACAGTGGCGGATCCAAAGGAGGGGAACATATGGGTCACTCATGACCTCCCTTGGGACCCGGGGGCACCACCGACCTATCAGGGCCACCACAGGCCTGACAGGGGCACCTAAGGCCTAGTGTTGCGATGTTGGGATATCATGAGCGGACCGGTTGTCCAGGGCCGTGACGCGGGGCGGGCCGGCGACTCGGCCGGCCGAGGGGCACCACGGGCCTGTCAGGGGTACCACAAGCTTGTTAGGGGCACCACAGGCCTGCAGGAGCACCATCGGCCTAGCAAGAGCACCACAGATCTGTCATGGGGCACCACAGACCTGCCAGGGGCACCAGCCAGAGGCCTGCCAGGGGTACCATCGACCTCACAGGGGCACCACTAGCCTCGCACGTGCACCTTGGGCTAGTAAAGGGCTCCACAGGCCCGCCAGGGGCACCACAGGCCTGCCAGGGGCACCACAGGCCTGCCAGGGGCACCACAGACCTAGCAATGGCACCACAGACCTGTCAGGGGCTCCACAAGCCTGTCAGGGGCACCTCAGGCTTGTCAGGGCCCAGGGGCACCACAGCCCTTCCATGGACTGTGGTGCCAAGCTTGCTTGCCTGACCTATGGTGTCCCCTCAGGAGCACCAGAGGCCTAACAGGGGCACCAGAGGCCTGCCAGCGGCACCAACGGCCTCGCCAATAAGACGTTGCAAAGCATTGCAATGTAGTGCCTCTTAACACGCGCACTGCAGGGGGGGGGTTGTTTTCAACCCCCCCTGTGGTTTTTCGCAAATCGCGAGAAAACGGCGGCGCGTAGCGCCGCCAAATTTTGCATACCTGTTCTCCCAACTTTTGCACACCTTGAGTAAAAATTTTGACCCCAGGTGACCTATGGTCAGGTCACCAGGTCAGGTCAAGTGACCCTACCTCGAAACGTAAATTTCGAAGTTTGCAATCCCACCAAGCCCACAGTTGTTGAGATATGATCTTGAAACCCACAGGAAATAGTAAAGTCATCACGAGCTACAACTTGTATATCTCGGAATTTTTATATCGATGACCTAAGGTCAGGTCATTTTTGCGACCGGCCCATTATAAGTCAATGGGAGAAATTTCAACTTACTCTGAATGCCATCCTATGACTTCAATACGCTCAGGATCATAGTATTACAGGTCCCTGTTGGTGATTTCACCGAAACATATCACTTACGACCTTTGGAAGGTGATCTCCAGGTCATCTTAGGTCACCTGAGGTCACCAGCGGTTTTTCTTCAATAACTTGAGATTGAATAGAGATAGAGACTCCGTTCGACGTTTATCGTGTTTTTCTCGTCAATGCGGATCGAATGATATGCAACATGACCTATTTCGGTCAGGTCATGACCTTGACCTGAGGTCAATTTTTCAACTTGACCTTTCGAGGTCATATTATATATCATTCGATGCGCCTTGACGAGCTAAGAACGATGGCGTTCGAATCGATCCTCTGTCTTGTGTGCAAGACAAGTTATTCAAGAAAAACTACCGCGAAATTCCTGTTGTGAAAATCGTAACATTTTGTGTTCGGTGACCTCTGGTGACCTCGTTTTTGACCTGACCCAAAAATGATCTTAGTATTTCTTGTAGATCTCATCTTAACCTATCCAACGCCGTTTACCGCTTGTCGCTACGTTGCGCCGTTTTCGAGATCTCAGGGGGGGTTGTTTTCAACCCCCCCCCCTGCAGTTCGTGTTCGGCTCAGACCCGCTGCAGTGCGCGTGTTAATATTGTTTGGCTGAGACCGCTATACAGTATACACAATAAGGTATCTAGCTGAATCGGTTTTCGTGATAACTCCTTATTTGTGACTATGCTAATGCCGGTTGGGTCATTTATGATCCATAACTTGAGAACCGATGGAACAATTTTTTTAAGCTTGCACTGTTTTCTTACATACTGGGACCCGTGTGGCTAACATTTGTTAAGGACAACTAAACTAAATAAGCATGACTAAAGAAGAGTTATGACATCGAAATACACACCAAACGATAGAGAATTGATCAAGGATCACGATAATGAAGGTTTCAAGTCGATATCTCTTACCGTTTTGCCGCAATCGGCGCGGAAATATGAAAAAGCTAGATTTTTTCCGAAAATTTGACCTTTGACCGGTCATAAGTAGGTCAAATGTTGACCTAGGACCAAAAAATATACCACCAATCGCGAGATCTCGTTGAGAGCAATCGTTGGTCTTTTCCGCTAAGCTCTACGACGCTCCGTTTTCAAACGCCAGGGGGGGGGGGGGGGTCGCACCAACTGCATGGGCGAAGGTGGCAAAACACCGTTTACGGGCGAGGGTTAAAAATGCTTATGATTTGTAAAGCTCAAACCCTTGTAATTAAAAGTTTTTAGTGAAACAGGCCTCTAATGTAATTTCAAATTAGCTCATTACAACGGCGACTCGCGGCCACGATACTCACTCACCTTGTCGTTTCTCTCGCACAGGAACTTGAGCTTCTGCGCCTTTTTGTGCATGAACACGCCATCCAGGTGACCCGTCTCGACGGAGCGGATCTCGATGGCCTTGTTTCCCCAGCCCATAATCTGGCCGGTGCCAATGTACGCCACAGAAGTGGGCATCTCGCCCCACTGGACGATTATGTTCTTGGAAACCTGCGGGGCGGACAGGGCAGTGGCTGTGACTCCGCTGGCCGGCCGGCCGGACGAACATCACTCCGCGAGCACTCAAATAAGCGATACCATATACGCTGCTCGACATAAACACCAAATGAGATGACATCAAGAGTTGCCACATTGTAATTGTGTGTGTGTGTTTTTTTTTATTACATTAACCCCCAACTTCAATTCAATGAGCACCATAGACACAACATTACTAGGATTTTCGCTCCAGAGGATTGGCCCGGCGCGGGGCGTATTGGAGCAGACTCTACCTTAAGGCAATTTAAGGCAAATTTAAGGCAGGGGGGATACGACCCCCCTCGCCGTTTCGCCCCTGGTGGAGCTAACGCGTCGCGGAAAAACGGGCGTGTGCACCGTTACGAGACGCAGAGATTGATACCCGATTTTAACCCTCGTCCGTATAGAAGGGGGGGGGGGGGAATCGAACGGACCACCCTCGTTTTTTTCGCGAATAACTCGCGTAAAAAGCGGCCGATCCCGACGAAACTTTCAGTACCCTCGCGTTGATCAATTTTACACCTATTCTGAAAATTTCATGACCCTGACCCAAATGACCTTTGACCTGTAACCTACTTTTCGAGACCATGTTTGGCCGGAATCGCGATTCGGCGTGTGTCGGCTCGCATTAGCCGCGCTTTTGCAGTCTTTTCGTGGTTTGAAGCGTTCAAACATGTGATATAATGTTGCCCCCATGCATTAGGGTGGGTGTCAAGGTCGCCTGAAGATCAGGTCAGGTCATTGACCTTTGATGACCTCGGTTCACTTTTTCGAGTTTTGCATGTTTCTAGGCCAGTTTTGGGAGCTGAATTCGAATTTAGCAACCATATGAACATTTACGAAGTTTTTTTTTGTGCCATCGTAACATGTTACGAAGCTGTCAGAGGCGGTTGACACCTACTACGAATACCCGGCAGGACCCCTACTGGATGACCTGACCTGACCTGACCCGACCTGGCCTAAATGCATGAAGACACATCATCTGTGATCAAAACTAACATGATATTCGTGATCAGCACCCCGAAAAACCCATAGCAGCCACACTTAACGTTCTAACATGTCCCGATTTTCCCGACTGTTGGGTCATTGACCCGACCTGGAAAGTCAACCAATGACCTAGGGGCTAGGACCTTAATATTGGGTATCATCGGCTTCTTCTTATCACGGGCAGCACGCTCGTTTTTTCCGCAAAGCTCTAGCTCGATCCGGGGCGAAACGGCAAGGGGGGGGGGGAGTCCAACGAACACCTTATACGTTCCCGGCTGGAAAAAAACACCAATACGGGCGAGGGTTAAGGTCCTGGGTCAACAGGTGACCTCTGAGGTCAGGTCAAGTGCCCCAAGGTACGGTTCCGTTTTTGGCAAATAACTTCGCAAAAACGGCCGCAGACCCGCGATTTTGGCAGCATCGTGTTCGCCTCGCTCAGGCGCGTCGAATGATATACATTTTGTTTGGGTGAGGTCAACTTAGGGTGTTGACCTCAGGTCACGGTCAGGTCAGCGCCCTCAGGTCACGAAATTGCTCGAAGTAGGTCATGTCGCATATCATTCGATTCAGCAGGTCTTAATGAGTCCATTGGTGGCTTTTTAGACTTGCTAGCTGAATTTGATCGGGAGTTAATGACGAAAAACTAATATGACCCTAATGACGTCATAAATGACGTCACGCAAGGTCAACATTGCAAAAGTTACGCATGTAACCTTGCAAGGAGTGCATCAAATCACGACTCTGTGTGCTTGAGATAGTCTGAGATCGTTCCCGGCGCCAGAATAGTAGTTTTTATTTTTTCCCCTTGACTTATAATGGTGAGGTCACGAAAATGACCTGACCTCATATGACCTTAAGGAAAAATCCGAGATATACAAGTTGTGAGACTCTTAATGGATATTGGATCCGGCAAGTTTCATTTCCCTGTGAAAGCTCTTCTGGTGATCATGCGACTTTCAAGTGCATGTCGCGTAGGAACATTATGGCTTGGCAGCGAGCTGGGTCAGGTCAGCATCAGCGCTGCGCCGCCATTCGGTCTCCCGGCTGGGGCGTGGTGCGATGTGTGTGCTCCCGCGTCACGAATGGTGAGTTGGAGAGTAATCCTGGGTGGTATTGTCGGCATTGATTTTGTTATAGCCTCACTGTAAGCAATGGTTTGTTTGAATATCTCATGTATTGGTGTAGCGCTGGAGCGAAAGACAGCGATTTGCTTCAGATTTGTCTGGCCATGTTGATAACCTTCCGCTTGTTCATAGGATGATTTGAAAGGCCGATGTGAGGCATGTGGCCGAGCGTGGCTTTGGAGGACCCAGCAGGCGTAACTTGCCTGTAGGTGCCTGTCAGATTGTTATTGCGGCGTAAATAGGGCCTCGATCATGCTCGATAATCGGCACAGGATTGATAAACTCTATGATCTGGCTGAATGGTAGCCGAACTATAACTGTATTACCGAACAAATAATTGCATTACTGGTTTGACTGTCGCAATATTGTATAAGCAACGATGCACGGTGGTTCCCTGGTTTGCTTTCGTTTACTTTCCCTTCCTGTGTTCCCGCGTATTTTGTTATCGCTGTATGCTAATTTGTATCGTTTCTTTTCTTTAGCAACGGTCAACGGTCTGAGGACGACATTGAGAGTTACCTCAATATACCGACGGGCCAGTTAACCCTCCGCCTTTGGACTGGGTCGACTGGTGCAGCCACACTGGTCTTATATCAAGTGCAAATGCATAAGTATTAGCCCGATTTGTGCGTATGCACATTTGCCACGACACTAGCCCCGTTTCCATGACACTTCTGAATCCGGATTAGCTCCGAATCCGGATTCAAACGACCATGGAAACGGCACATTTTGCCGTGGGACCTTGGAAACCTTGGATTCTAGAAATTGAATTTGCCGTGGGCCTTGGAAACCTTAAATTCTAGAAATTGAATTTGCCGTGGGGCCTTGGAAACCTTGGATTCTAGAAATTGACTTTGCCGTGGGACTTTGGAAACCTTGGATTCTAGAAATTGAATTTGCCGTGGGACCTTAAGGATCCAGGGCCCAATCTTACCAAATGCCGTGAATGCGCATTCACGGCATTTGGTAACATTCAAAACTATTCAACATCCATTTATTCCTTCGTTCGGGTAACATTCATAATCATTCTCGCTATCAAAATCATTGGACAAAATTAGCTGAGTGTTATTAAAAGGGATATCATTGATATCAGTGCCGTAAACTCCGGTCAGTGCTGCCAAATCCTATTCACGGCATTGGTAAGATTGGGCCCAGGACCCAATCTTACCAAATGCCGTGAATGCGCATTCACGGTATTTGGTAACATTCATAACTTTTCCACATTCACTTATTCATTCGTTCTGGTGACATTCATAATCATTCACGCCATCAAAATCATTGGACAAGATTAGCTGGAGGTAAATAAAAAGGACATCTTTGATATCAGTGCCGTAAACTCCGGCCAGTGCTGCCAAATCCTATTTACGGCATTGGTAAGATTGGGCCCTGGATCTTGATTTTCGGTCACGGCACAAGTCTGCTTAAAGGTAGGGGAAGTTGGGGGAACGCCGAAGACTTTTTTTCTGACGCCCGTAGCACGCAAGGTAGACAACATACGCTATTCTTGTTGGCGTCATTCGAGAGGCCAGTCTTTTGCCTTTCAAACATACCAGGCGCATTTGATGAATTCGCATACCGTTAAGCGCACAAACTAAAAATATCAAAGAAGTGACTTTTTCGGCGTTGCCCCGGACTGCGGGGAAAGCCGAAAATGGGAGAAATGATCTACGGGGAATGCCGACATTGATGTTTTGCCATTTTATCTCAAACTTTATCCAGAATTCATCAAAGCTGACACACGTTTCAAGAGCTTGAGGACGCGGTGCACACTGGAAGTTATAATTGTGTGATATAATAAGAAAATGCCAGGTAAATCATTCCTTATAGGTAACAGGCCGTTGTGTCGGTCGAAAGTGTAATTTGTGTGACTAAAAATACGCGTTGCTATTCTACAGCAGTAGAGTCCACGTAGCGTGCTTTTAACACGTGCGTAATCGCACGTTTTCGGCATTACCCCAGCCAGCCATACTTTCATTTGCAGGCCCATAACTTTTCAACGTGCTGTATAAATTTCAAATAGGCAGCACACTTATGCAAAGACATGCTAAAGATTACTTGACCGAATTGGCCAGACAAACGGTAGCATAATGAGTAAAAAATGCAGCTTCAAAGGCGCATGTAGTACAAGGGAAACGTACCTTGAAAACGCTCTTGGCGCCCTTACAGTCGAAGTATTCCGAATGACGACTCGTAACAAACATGCGATAATTGTAGTCACTTAAGCTTCAGAGCATCACTGACAGGTGGCATCCATGTCTTACGGTTTTCGAAATATCTCGAATTTCGGCTTTGCCCCAACTCCGGCATTGCCCCAACTTCCCCTAGTGTGCCACCTTCCAATGATTTCCCATTTTATTTTTCCTAGGATAAGAAGCTTCTGTTTTTACCTAATATCGCAAAAAAATCAAAAATGGGCCTAAAATAGTGCTTTTTTGCCTAAAAGTTTATCGGTTTTTAGATATGTATAACAACTGTAGTGGACTGACCTGCAAACAGGCGTCGGCAACAATCACGAATGCGGCGCACATGTGACAATAAGCAAAGGTCATTATAGAGTTACGACGTACGGGAATGAGCTACCAGCTGTCTAATCGTAGACAACACAATGTCGAATTTAAACTGTAAGCCTGTATTGGTATTGTTTCTTTAATTTGGCTGTCGAACATTAATTTATGGTTTGAAATATTATTTTATGTAAAATAATTGATATGACACAGCCGTCTCTAAAGTTATGACCCCATCTCACGACATGAAAGTGGCAGAAATGACAATGATCAGCTGACGCATTTTTCTTGGCCGAAGTCAGAGCGCGCGGCCCGACGCACCACCACCGCACCACAAAGTATGAGCAGAAGCCACCTGCGG